AAACCAAAAGAAGCAGAACTGCACACCAAACTCATTTTATTCATGTCGGGACTCACCCCGATCACCATTTCCTCAATGGTGCATTATGTGTAAGGGCGAGGGGAAGACTTTGGACCATCTTTTTTTACATTGTCCAGTGGCAAGGAGATTGTGGCAACAGTTTTTCTCATTGGGTGGCATTGCTTGGGTGGCTCCCGAATCATCTAGTTCCATGTTGTTTACCGATTTCCAATTTTTGGGCTCAAATAAAAAAGCGAAGGTGCTGGGGCTTTGTGCAGTTTTTGCATTTTTATGGGTCATATGGCTGGAAAGAGATGCGAGGATCTTTGAGGATAGAAGTGTTGATGTCTTCTCATTGTGGGAGAAAATCATATTCTTGGCATCTTTTTGGGCGTCATTGGCTTCTCCATTTAGGGGAATTCCGCTTTTCTTGATCTCGAGTGATTGGAAGTCCGTGTGTGTCTCTTAGAATTTTATTTTTCTGCTTTTGAGGACTTCTTGTCCTCCTTTTGTACTATTTCTTTTCTTTTCTATTTTAATAAAATTTTCGTCCGTTGTTGATCCAAAAAAGCATGTGTTCAACCTCTCATGGTTATACCTTCTTGTTAGAATTTCCCATCTTTACCTTCACCTACTCCACTACACACTCCACTTCACCTACCTCCACTTCACCACACACTCCACTTCACCTAACCCACTATCACCTCCACTACACCTACTACCACATTTTCTTCTATATATAGATTGTATAGGAATTGTAATTAATAAATCTTGTAAGACATCAATCAATAATATACATCAATTTATTTTTTTCAATGCCAATAACCTCTTGCTAACTGAGCTTCTCTTGCCATCTACACTACTAACTAAGCTCCTCTTGCCACCTTTTGTGGGTCTCGATGTTCTCGAAGTCCTTGGAATGTTCATCCCAATTCAATTCATACCATATAGCTTTGCACACCAAACCATCTTTTATTCATATTAGGTGAAGTGGAGTGTGTAGTGGAGTAGGTGAAGGTAAAGATAAAATGTGGTAGTAGGTGTAGTGGAGGTGATAGTGGGTTAGGTGAAGTGGAGTGTGTGGTGAAGTGGAGGTAGGTGAAGTGGAGTGTGTAGTGGAGTAGGTGAAGGTAAAGATGGGAAATTCTAACAGGGAGTTACCCCTCTTTGCAACCAATGGTGCTTGTGAGGGACCGAAGTGGCAGGGTGCTTAATAGTAAGGAGTTCTTGGTTTCTAGTTGGAGAAGACTTCCCCCCTCCCTTCTTTGATTTTGAGGTCTTTATATATTTTGTTGGGCTTAAGGTATTGGGAAATTATGATTTAAATTTTTTTTTTTTGACTCGTTGATGTGGGTCCTCTATAGTATTGTATGTGTTGCACGGATGTGGGAGTTAGTCACTAATGAATCATCTTTTCAGGGAGGTGTGGTTTCAGTGGACTACACAAATAACTATTTTGGTTAATAAAAAACTTAGTCATAGGATGTTTGAGGAAAAAAACTGGATTGGTATCATAGGTTGTAGTGGTTGTATTATTGCTCATGCGTTACTTCAATTAATTGGTTATGTTGATTTAGGAATTTTAATACTCTTTTTTTGTTATGTTGCAGATGAACATGATTAAGGTTTCTAATATAATGGGCATTGACCCAAAGCCATTTGATCCCAAGACATATGTAGAAGAAGACATCTTTGTGGCCAATGAATCTGGATCTAAGAAACGTATTCGTCTGGACAACAACATTGTCCGTTGGAGGATTGTACGAAATCCAGATGGCACAGAATCTGTAAGTGAATAAATGGAAGCATATTTTAGTTCTTATCATATGCCATACTTATCCACACACATAATATTATACTATTGTGAATTTTACTTTCTGGGCTTCATGAACAATATCTTGATATTTTTGTTTGTAAATGTTATAAATTTTATATAATTGTTGCATTAAGATTTTCTAAACACAGTGAGGAATATAATTTATTGCACTTGCTTTAGTTGGAGTGGGTTATATGTTTGGTTGTATTGGTTGTGTTCAACTCTCTTATCTTCTGACATTTTTATTCGATAAAAATATATTGTTCAACTTTTTTTTTGAGAAGTAAGAGATGAGACTACAATGACATGAAAGGGGAGCTACCCAAGTACAAGAATGGAAAAAAAAATGGGCTCTGCTCAAATGGGCTCTGCTCAAAAGAATCTACAAATCTTAAAATTTGGTTTAAGGATGGATCAATTCAACCTGAAAACCCAAGAAAAAATAGGAGATAAAAATTCTACTCCGCACTGCTCCAAACACACCAAGAATCAAAGACTAAGCATTGATTATTGGTGCTACACCAAATTCATGGTTGTTTTCTCTGGTACCTTACTAAAGGGGCTAAAATATGGAAATTAAAAATGCTAAAGTAGGATATATATTTACACTTTTTTGAGATGAAGTAAGGATTGAAAGTAAAAGGTGCCAAAAGAAGGAATAAGATTTAATACTTTTAGAAATGCCCAGTTTTGGTTTCTTATTTGGCATTTGGCTTCAACAAAGTTTTTCTGTGCAAAACCTTTTAATGTTGGAATTGATCCAACACCTGTGTAGTCATGCAGGAAGAACACATTTTCTTTTGTATTTAAGAATTTGTTATATGCTTTATTGGAAATGATTGTGACATTTTCTTTTCATGTGCAGTATGAAAGCAATGCACGCTTTGTGAGATGGTCAGATGGCAGCTTACAGTTATTGAGGTTTTATTAAGGTTTGATAGGCTTTGATTTCTGAAATTTGAAATGGATTTGATGTGTTTTATTCACAGAAATCCGCAAAAATTCGAAGTCATTTCGCTTGAGACATCACCCCCGGGAACAAGTTTTCCAACTTCGGCGCTTTCCGGCACATTTTTATATGCACAGTTATATACTCATTTTTTATATGCACAGTTTTCCAACTTCGGCGCTTTCCGAATTGGGTCTCTCATTTTTATATGCTTCATATGGATGCTGGGTTCCTTATATGCACAGTTATATGCTTCATATGGGTCTCTCATGGGTCTCTTATATGCACAGTTATGCACAGCTCCGAATTGGGTCTCTCATTTTTATATACTCATTTTCATAGAGTATTCTCTCATTTTTGTTCTTCTTCTTCAATTTTTTTTTCCTCAGCTTTTGCCTTCATCAGAGCTTCTGTGGATCACTCTGACCACTCTCACCATTGTTCACTCTGGCTCCATGTGAAACAGGAACTTGAAACAGAGGTGGAAATGATTAACTCGGCTGCTCGGTAATCTCAGCCGGGAACTTTGCTCGGTAATGTGAAACTGATTTTTAAACTGATTATATTTATACTTAATGACTCAATAACATGCTGGTTTTAAAGCCAGTTCAGTTCGGTGATTTTGGTGATTTTGAAATAACTCAAGGTCACATGATTCTTGGTGATTTCTTCTTATTACTGTAAATACTACTGTAAATGTTTTGGTGATTTTGGTGATTTCTTCTTATTTCCATGTGGTGTAGATTGTTCTGGTTTATGTGACTCAACTACTTAAGTATACTATGTTAGATGATAATGACTTTAAGTATACTATGTTATTGCATGTTAGATTGTTCTGCGTTATTGTTGAGTCTAGATGATATATGAGTCATTAAATATATTAAATTTATACTTAGTTATACTTAAATTTATACTCAGTAAAATATATTAAATTCACTCTGGATGATATTTATACTTAATGGTTAAGAATAGCATTTTAAGAAAATATACCAGCATATATTTTCTTAGTTGATAATATACCAGCATATATTGTACTTTATATTTTCTTATAAACTATGAAATATTTTCTTATAATATAAACTAAGAAAATATAAACATAATATACCAGCATATATTGTACTTTATATTATAAGAAAATGAGTGGTTTTTTTTTAACATATGGTTTAGAGATTTTCTTATACTGGTATATTATGTAGTATTTAGGGTGTTTTTTGTTATATTTTCTTATACTGGTATAGACAAAAAACTGGTATATTAAGAAGATGGGGGTTTATTGTTATATTTTCTTATAACAAAAAAGTTGGTTGATCCACATTTGTAGTAGGCAAGGCTTTTAAGAAGATGGGGGTTTATTGTTTGAAAAAGTTGAATGGGGATGGAGTCTCAAGGCGTTTGAGAGATTTTGATGCTTTTATTACGAATTGTGAGTTGGTTGATCCACATTTGTAGTAGGCAAGGCTTTTAAGAAGATGGGGGTTTATTGTTTGAAAAAGTTGAATGGGGATGGAGTCTCAAGGCGTTTGAGAGATTTTGATGCTTTTATTACGAATTGTGAGTTGGTTGATCCACATTTGTAGTAGGCAAGGCTTTTTTCTTATAATTGCATAACAATATTTCTCTTATATGTTATTTATTTATTTATTTTTATTTGGCTATTTTATTGGTGAAGTAAAATAGATGATTGGATTATCTATTTTACTGGTATATCCATACCAGCATATATATGCTGGTATATTATCAACATATATTTCAGATGGGGGTTTATGGTCTCTAAGTAGTATTTAGGGTGTTTTTTGTCTTCTTAATATACCAATAAACCTTATAGACAAAAAACACCCTAAATATCCATACCAGCATATATATGCTGGTATATTATCAACATATATTGTAGTTTATATTATAAGAAAACACCCCAAAAAATTTCAACATAATATACCAGCATATATTGTAGTTTATATTTTCTTATAATCAAGTTACCGTATGAAAATATAGGAAAATATATTTTCTTATAATTCTTAGTTGATAATATACCAGCATATATTGTAGTTTATATTTTCTTAGTTTATATTATAATCAAGTTAATTGTGTACTTTTGAATCTCTCCAAATGATGTAAATCCAAATATATTCATACAAGCATATATTTTCTTAGTTGATGATTAAGAAAATATTCATATATTTTCTTATCATCAATGTAAAATATTCACATATATTTTCTTATCATCAATGTAAAATATTTATACTTAATGACTACCAGCATATATCTTCCAGAGTGAAGTTCTCCTTGCACCCAATGACTACTCAGTAAAATATTTATACTTAATGACTACTCAGTAAAATATATTTATGGTAGAAATATATTAAATTCTTATAATATATTTTTAATGAGTAAAAATGTATGTTATTTTAAGTATGAATGTTCATTTATTTTATTTAATGCCATTCACTTAGTTTCACATGGCTCCATGTATCCCCTTGCACCCAACAATATCACTTATTTTTTAATTGAAATCAGGAACTTGAACTTGAAACAGGAACTTTGCTCGGCTGCTCGGTTAGTTAATCAGGAACTTGGAGCCATAAAAAATAAAAAGCTCGGTTGCTCGGTTAGTTTATTACGCTCAATGTGTTTATTGAGAAGAATTTTAATTGTCCACTGTTTTCAAAGAATTCTGTTTTCAAATATGTGTTTTCAAAGCAGAATTTCTTATCACCAAAGAGTAGTTGCAAAGGATTACCAAAATCACCACATTCTGCTCAATGTGTTTACTGTCAACTGTTTATCACCAAAATCATAAATTTTGGTTCAGCCAAAAATTCTGCTCAATGGATTTTTTTTAAATTAGTTTGGTGTTATACACTAGAAAATTGGTGACAAAAAAGGTTATTGACACATATTTGAAGACATGTTATTGAACTACTTGGTGACAAAAAAGGTTATTAACACATATTTGAAGACATGTTATTCAACTACTTGATTTTTTTAATTTTTTTTTAAGTTTTGCCCTAAATATATTTTTTAAAATCATGTCCTAAGTTTTATATTTTCAGTTATATGGGTAATTTGCTATTTTATTTTCTAAAACAAAATTGAACACTAGAGATCCCACTGCAATGTTGGACACTAGAGATCCCACAACAATAAAATTGAATGAAACTTTTGTGACAACCATGCCACTCATATATCTATATTTATTACACAAAAAAAAATTTAAAATTGTATATAAAATTAGGTAGGAAATTAATGAAGTGGTGCAGCACGAGAGAGCATACTTCAGTGGTTTGACCTTTTGCTTGGTTTAGTTCAGCCTCTTGAATGTGTTCAACACTCCAAAAAGAAAAAAGAAAAAAAAAAGGTGTTGTGGAGAATCCAAGCCCCCTTTTGGCTTTAGGGATGATTTTTTTATGACTCAAAATTATTGGTTTGAGATATCATATTCAAAAGAAACTTGATGATATATTTTACTGAGTGCTTTGATTTTTGTATGTTTGTTATTTAAAATGAAATTCAGTGCTCTTAAAAAAATAGATGATCTTGACAAATCATGTGAATCATGTGAATCAGTGAATCTGAGTGCCTTGGATTTTTTAATATTAGGTGTATAAATTGTGCATAAATTCAATTTTAAAAAATTTGGTTTGTTTGTTTACTTAATCATCAACTAAGAAAATATTAGGTGTATTTTTTTTCTTTTTATTATAGATTTAGTATACAATAACTTTAGTTTCTGTCAGTGTTTACAATTTTTTTTTACTTGCTCTTATATTTTGATTTGGAGTATTGGTGAACATTAAAAATCTTATATGTTTATTTCTTAATTTGCATTAACATTAGGGAGAGTTGTTATTTATTTCAGTTTTGTAGAGCATGTAATACAAGCAAAAATGTTAGAAGTTATTTAAGAAAAAAAAATTAATATATTTACAACGAAATATAAATATCTCAAATTTTCACAAAATCTTAAAAAAGGGTAAATTATAAATATGCCCCTGATGTTTGTAAAATATTCTCACTCTCTCTATGGGAGCTTGCATTTTAAGATTAGTATTCAGAGTTTGGTAATGAGGTGCGGTGTTGCTTTTGAGTCAAACTTGGTTCTAAATCATGACACAATGCAATTATACAATTGAATTTGTTGATTGAGATTTTTATTTATTTATAGATTTTTATTTTTTGCCAGTCAAACTTGGTTCTTATGTAGTTATAATTTGATTAGCAGCAGTAGCATTAACTGGTATGCATTTAAGTTTTAATTTCTTTTAAATTGCAGAGCACTGGCTGGTGTGCATTATTTGATATTTTAATTTTTTTTATATTTGATTTGTTTGGAATTGTAGAGTACAGTTTGTTAAATATATTTTTATAACTGTATTTTAATCTTAATATTATTTACACCGTGCCTTTAGGCACGGGCATACGCTAGTATACTAATAAAATATAACTTGTATAAAATAGATTTTGGTAAGTTAAAACATAAGTAAAATACATTTTGATAACTCAAGGTATAATATAACTCACCTTAACTTTAATACCTTACTCTTTATTTTTATCATCAAAGACCCTTTCACCTTCCACTATTCTTTCCTTCCTTTCCTCTCTTTTCTTTCTTTTCTTTCTTCCTTCTCTCTTTCTTCTTTCTTTTCCTTTTCTTCCTTCACTCAGATTACCCTCTCCCTATATATAGGGAGATAGACGCAACGCCTGGCCAACACGTGGCCAGGCCGAATCGTTCCGTAGATTCATTTAATTAAATTCATTTAATTAATTTCATAAATTTGATCTTATCTTTAATAGATATTTAAGATAATTACTCTTTGACCCAATATTTTAATATAATTATATAAATAATTTAATTTCTAATTAAATTACACTTTATCATATACCAACATAAAATTAATTATTTATTTTACTACCACGCCTATTATTATTATTATTTTGACCCTTAAACTTTTAATAATTTTATTATTTTACAAAATTATACGTAATAATATATAATAAATTATATATTTTCCCATCTGTAATTAAATAATATTAGTATAAATTTTACAGAATAATTAAAAATCTTGATTGTTACACGACACCACTACCATGGCCGACCCAGCCACCCTCAACTCCTT